GGCTCCACGCGTCGTTGTTACTGGAACCATCACTAGTTTAAAACTATTATTAAGAAACTATTATGAAATGAACACTTTGCAACTAATGTTTTTTGCAGTTTGATTGCAAAGTAGATTCAAAATGGCTAAAACAGATAACATTAAACAATAAGCTGTTTTAATTAACTCTGCATGAAGATATTATTTGACGGGGGAGAGGATTCCTGACATTTTGCCCAGTGATCCCAATAAAAAGCCCAAAGTAAAGAAGTAAGTAACTTTTGGTATTAATGTTTTTGCCCTAATTTTTTTTCTTTTATTTTTTAAATGTTGATTCCTTTTCCTGTTATATGTTCAGATCTCCGACCAAAAGCTCTTCTTCTGCCTCTGTTTCAATTTCAACTCGCTGGTCCAAACAGGAAAAAGAGCTTTTTGAGAAGGGACTGGTAAGCTGGAACCTCGCGGTTAATAAATAAAAAGTCCAACAATGGTCACAGAAATAACTTGAATCTAACAAATGTCATTTAAGACATTGCTTTTTAAACATGCTTTCATGAAACGGGTCTTAACAAAAAAAGATGGTCCCTTTAAATTAATTTTCTTGAGTCAATCTCTGCAATCAAACGATTCCTGTAACGATAAATCAAAATTCAAATCGTGTGAAATAGTGTTTCAACAGTGAAACCCTTTTTTTCGGTGGTTTATGCCTTTTAAAATGAATAATTTTCTTTACGTTTTGAGGCTCAGTACGGTCGGAGGTGGACAAAAATCGCCAAGCTGGTGGACACTCGAAGTGTCCTTCAGGTCAAGAGTTATGCCAGGCAGTACTTTAAACAAAAGGTGAGATTTCTCTTCCCTTCTGGCTTCTAGCATAATTCATAATCAATAAACACGTTTCTGGCTGCGTTCGAATTCATGGGCTGCGTCTTCCAAGGACTGGATCCTTCAAAGTCTGGGAAAATAAGGAGACCGGAAGAGTTTTGGCTGTGGATTCAAACCGGTCCATCCTTCGGTTGCTTTTACCGCCGTACGCTTTGTCGCTTAGCAACCGTGACAGTTCACACGCAAAGCAGGAAAAGAATGAAAACTGAACCTTTCAAAACGCTTTCTTTTTAATATTTTTATTGTAAAGTGAACAAAGACTCCACTGATGAGAATCCAGGATGGAATAAAGGTTCCAACCACTGGGAGCAGGAACAAATCAAATCAAATGTAATGATAGAAACCTTAGTCAGTTAAATAACCTGCTGCTGTCATTCTGCACATCTCTGATGTTGCTGCTATTTTCAAATATCCATTACTGTAAAAATGTCCATAGCTGCATATTGGTTATTTATTCTCCAGTTTTATATTGTTAAAACACTTTACAGTAACTTAAACAGTATTTTAATGTTTATCTTTTAAC